CATCTGACATCTTACACTTACCTACATACAGTCATCTGACATCTTACACTTACCTACATACAGCCATCTGACATCTTACACTTACCTACATACAGCCATCTGACATCTTACACTTACCTACATACAGCCATCTGACATCGTACACTTACCTACATACAGCCATCTGACATCGTACACTTACCAACATACAGCCATCTGAAGAAAGCCTTGAAGTTCTTTATACTGTTATCAATTACTCTGTAATATAAGGAATAAAATTATTCTTAAATTATGATCAACTGTTGTTTGTTTTACAGGTAGACAATTCATCATTATAGGTCACCAAATCAAACAAGAAAACAACAGGGGCAGGATTATATAATATATTATGCCTATCCAATGCCATGTACAGATTTTGTTGAACTTCTAATTTAGCCTTTCTCTTAGTATATGCTGATGTAACAGACTCACTGCTGTATTTCTGACGTTTTCAGGACAAAAGATCCCACAGCAGTGACAGCCTCCTGGATCTTCTGTGTGTGCATACCGAGGACTCCAAACTTTTCGTACCATGCTGACATCCCCCGTAGGTCACTCAGGTGGTAAAGCATTGCCTGACTCACCCTGTAAGAGGTGGAATATAATCTAGTTTCTTTATAACTGATAATATTCCTTGTAGTTTAATTTTGCACTTTTCATGGTAGTTAAAATGTGCAAAAGCAACATTTCCCAAAAAAATGTAAAAATCTCAGATTGATAAAGGGCTATATAGACTATAAAATGTCTTGACTCGTGCACTTTACAGAATTTATCAGCCAAATTAAGGATCCCTGTCCCACTGCACTGGGATTTTTCTTTATACAGTTACCTTCCCTTAACATCTGTTTGGACATCACTGTAGTACAGTTTCGCCAGTACACTGACCAACTAGCTCAATCAGTTAGAGCGATAACATAACAATCTGAGGTCAAGGGTTAAATTCCCTGTCTAGCCCAGCGGTTTGGTTTTTACACTCAAAATACTGTTGAATATATTTTGTTTATTTCATCTTTATTATTTCTCATAAAAGTCTCAAAAAGGTATGGTTTTCTTTTCGGAAATGATTTATCAAAGTTATAGCCATGCAGGAAAAAACAGTTTCCAACACTTTGTTACAGTTTTTGGCAGTGGTACCAGGATCATTAAGTGTAAAAAATTAATGACAAAATTCTTTTTTTTTTAAATAATTAAATCCATTATGCCATACAAGTAGTTCTAATAGTAGTTCTGCTATTGTGTAAACATATACATTACAATAAACGGTTTTCATTGATTTACAATGCACATGTGTGTCATTGTTTTTATTATTTTGTACAGTTTTGAGGAAAATGGAGGAGAAAAAGGATAGTTCCCTATGTTAAAGCAGCCTTGGGTAAAACAGTCAAGGATATCCTCCAGGGGGGAGATTGATCTGTAGGAAAGATCATATTAGCTCTGAGGTATAACCCAGTTATCTGTTTCTAATCCCATGCTACATTTTTTTATTAGAAGGAAATTAAAGCATGTTGTAAAAGTGACAACCAGCAAACACAATCATAACAATGTCTCTACAACAAATTTTCATAAACATAAAACCTATTGTAGTGATACTGAAATTGTTTTTACTATTTTATGTATCAACCACAGTATCTTACTTTGAAAATTGACTGTACAATCAAACCTCAGTATTTATCATTGAGAAGCCAATAAAGTCAGTTCTTATTGCAGGTTCAGCTTACAGGAAAACAACAGCAATGGAGATTTTTAAAAGTGGTCTCTTAATACAAGTTCAGCTAACAGGAAATTAAAGCTATGGAGATTTAAAAAGTGGTTTCTTTATACAAGTTCAGCTAACAGGAAAATAACAGCATTGGAGATTTTTAAAAGTGGTCTCTTAATACAAGTTCAGCTAACAGGAAAATAACAGCATTGGAGATTTTTAAAAGTGGTCTCTTAATACAGGTTCAGCTAACAGGAAAACAACAGCAATGGAGATTTTAAAAGTGGTCTCTTAATACAGGTTCAGCTAACAGGAAAACAACAGCAATGGAGATTTTAAAAGTGGTCTCTTAATACAAGTTCAGCTAACAGGAAAATAACAGCATTGGAGATTTTTAAAAGTTGTCTCTTAATACAAGTTCAGCTAACAGGAAAATAACAGCAATGGAGATTTTTAAAAGTGGTCTCTTTATACAAGTTCAGTAAACAGGAAATTAAAGCTATGAAGATTTAAAAAGTGGTTTCTTTATACAAGTTCAGTAAACAGGAAATTAAAGCTATGGAGATTTAAAAAGTGGTTTCTTAATACAGGTTCAGCTAACAGGAAAAAAACAGCAATTGAGATTTTTAAAAGTGGTCTCTTTATATGGGTGTCTTTTGATAACAGTGGTCTCTGAAATATGACAGTACCTACAAATGGTATCTAATTTTTGCTATATACAATAGAGACATTAACTAATTCGCCCCTGAAATTTCATAATGAACTATTCCAACCTCTGAATTGGAAGAGTTCAAATGAGTCTTCAGGGGTGAATGAGTTGATACGCCTGCCATACTTACACTTGTAGGTGCTGAACCACCAGTTTCTGTATGTTGGAGTAAGACGTCTCTATGGAGTGGCCCAGGTTCTTCAGACCCTTAGTAAGTGAAACAATTACTCATTTACTTTTTTATGAAACACTTTGCCAGACTTCTGGGCTACCAATCAAGAAAGAGTTCACACTTAAGTCCATTATTAAGTCCAAGTATTTCTTTATTTCTTCTTGGAAAAGCCTTGGTTCTGACCCAAATTCCAATCACTCATGTAGAACATACATTTATCACATAACTGACCCATTTTACTATGTCATACGGTCATGTCATAAATATGGTAATACTCACGTGTAATAAAACCTAAAGGTGCTTCGATTGGTCAAAACCGTGGGAACATATTCCTACGCCACTACAGGTACTACTTTTATTTACTCTACCACATGATATTCCGTCTTTTCGTATTGCAGAGTTATCTGCTCTTATCTGAGCAGGTATTGATTGTTTTGTCATTGGTTTGTGAGAGTAACGTCATCAATTTTTGAAAAAACAACGTAATTTTCACACACAAACCAATGACGTAGCAATCAATACCTGCTCACAAGAGAAGATAACTCTGCAAAATACAAAGACTGAATATTTACTGCTATTTTAAATGAATTTGAAATGTTTATTTCGTCATTATTATAATTATTTTCATCGCATTTAAAACTGTTCATTACTAAACGAAAACCAGAACTACTTTGCACTGCGCAGAATGACAATACTATGATCGGAGTACTTTGGTTTTGACCTATATTGAGTCAGCTAATATCATATATTTTTTTTAGATTTGTTTCCAAAATATGAATTTAGTGTGAAAAAGACTCTTACATTCGTGTCCATGTCATATTGAATTCATTAAATCTGTTCAATAATTTGCTATAAAACTTGCCTAAGGGCTCGTGTCATATCAAATTATTGAACTCGTTTAATGAATTCAATATGACATGGACATTCATGTAAGATCCTCAATATCCTACACATGATGGACTTTATTTCAGTATTCTTTCCTACATGTGTGTGTAAATCCAAGCTATCTCATGTAAGAACACCAAGTTATGGCTTTATCATGACACCGTGCTACAAACATCATATGTCCTTTTAACCTCGCTGCCATCCCTGTGAGTATCAGACTTTCTACTCAATATATAGACTATTACATTATCTATTGGAAATGAATGAGACTCTCTTTCATTCATGTATATTGAAGATTGGAAAATTATGAATGGCGAGTTCTTCCCTCAGAAAGCTTTGAGGTATTGCTCCAACATCTAAATAATTATATCCTTATCACAAACCTTTTCTGTGAGCTCATGGAGTAGGAAAGCTTGAAGTTCAGGACTGAAAAAAAAAAGGGAAATAAAGTTACTGGTATTTTATAGTTTTGAGAAAGAGTCAGTCTTAAATACTATTTTTTCTTGGAAGTTGTTTTTTGCCAGCTGGATTTTTTTTTTTTTAAACACAGTGTACCAGGCCCAAGGATCATGAAACAATCTTAAGCCTAAAGTTGACTTCAGTTTGGACTTAGCCAATCACAAATAACGTCATGAAAAGTGACGTCATACGTGATAAGCTAAGCAAACATTTAAGTCTAAGATTGTTTCATGATCAAGGGGCCAGGTGTCTTTTAGAAATTTAGAAATTCAATAACTGAAGTTAGATAAAAAGAATTAACAACTGTCATACATTTCTACCAAAACTTATTCAAACTGTTAACAAAAGAGGCCTCTATTTTGTTGTCGACAATTTGCATATGATGTCACCTTGTTTTTCCGTCTTTGCGTATTGCAGAGTTATCTTCTCTTGTTAACAGGTATTGATTGTTACGTCATTGGTTTGTGAGAGTAACATCATCAATTGTTGAGAAAACGATGTAATTTTCTCACACAAACCAATGACGTAACAATCAATACCTGCTCACAAGAGAAGATAACTCTGCAATACGCAAAGACGGAATAGATGCTCTAATGTGATGTCATATTTGAATGTCATGAGGTCAAAATGCCTGGTCACAACTTCTCCTGATATAGCCAATGAAATAGCTTCATACATGTGTTCAATGGTTATGCTTATTAACACATGGCCTGAACATGACATGACAAACGCAAATTATCATAGAAAGAATTTTACCGTACTAAAACACTGTCATCAAAAGTTAGATTACCAGCAGTAAAAAATCCTTGATATTACCGTACAAACACAACCTGTCAGTACCTGGGAGTGCCAAACATTAACAGCTCCAGGAAGTCATTGCTCACTGTACTGGTGCCAGTCTTCTGACAATACAAAGATGAAATAATGGCATTAAGGAAAATATTTACAGATTACACACACATCAATAAATTTTGAGATTTATTTAAGTTTTCATACATATAGTTACATGATAGTAAGTTCTGGGTCAGTATTGAAAATAGAGATACAAAATGTACAAGATTGTAACATCATTACCAGAAATCAAAATCTTACGTTTTTATTATTTACTGAATTAAGTACAGCTTCTGTATTTAAGATATTCTGTATATCAGTTACAGTGATGATTATCTTCAAATATAAGTTTTTTTGGTGTTTTTTTCATATAATAAAGTCTTTTACAGTTACTGTGAAGCTTTTTTTTGTCATGTTAATGCGTGCAAGACCGATTGTTGTGATTACCAGGGCAGGTAAGATTTTGTAATAATGGTGCAAGAATTGAATATCTACAATATTCACAGCCGAACATGAAACAGGATTTGTTGACTTTTTGTCTACGATACACACAACAGAAAAATAGAGGAGGGAGAGCGTACAAGAATGTGGGCATTAGTTAAGTTGAATGAAGTGAAGTAGTTATATTGTATTTACCCTTTTTTCTCCAGCAAATTTAAGGAGTTTTGAGTCCATTTCCATGAGGATATCTTCCCACGCCTCGGACATCTGTTGAATGGTCTGCTGTAGGTACTGTAGAAAATCAAGTTGTAAGTTAAGACCATGCTTAAAAGTGGGTTGTTTGCAGTTTCCCAACCAACTCACGGAAGATGGCACCAACTCAAACTGTTTTTTGGAACATTTGGTAAACATTTTATTTTGCTGAAAAATCAGTGAAACTTAAGGTTTTCATAAAGATAATTATGAGATTTCTGAAAAAAAATAAACTAGATGTATACTTCATGAATACCCCCACTTTGATTGATCAGGAATTGGTGGAAGTGATGGGCATGTGGATTGGAAGAATCAAATGAAGAGTTTATAAGCTGCAAAAATTTGCACTGAAGGTGGTTTGATACATGATAACGTAGTAATGGTAGAGGTCACAGTGACCTACATATGGTATTCGACACACTGCCTTCCATGCATGTACCCACAAACCAAGATTCATAACCATAGGTGAAATAGTACAGGAGATTAGCCCCAGAAACCTTTCTGACGACATTATGTAGGTCAGAGGTCACAGTAGAGGTCACAGTGACCTACATATGGTACGCAACACACCGCCTTCCATGAATGTACCCACAAACCAAGATTCATAACCGTAGGTGAAATAGTACAGGAGATATGCTCCGGAAACCTTTTGGACGGACGGATAGACAAAGCAACCACTATATACCCCCGACTTCGTTGAAGCGGGGGTATAACAAATCTATCTATCCTAAAATGTGATTAGGGAAACTGTAAACAAACAATTTTTTAAAGATGGCCTTAATTTCTATATGGTTTGTTGCAGATATTGTGTGATTTGTTTATGGGTGGCTGCATGGCACAATGAAAAGCACCTTCGTCTTTCACCAAGACGGCTGTTTGTTCAATTCGTTGAGCTGGAAAGGGTATCGGGTCACCTGACCGACCAAGTGGGTTTTCTCTGGGTATTCTGGTTTCCTCCAACATAAAGACCCTCTGCGCTATCATCTGAGCTAACAAGAGTGATTAATATAAGTTGATGAATTTATTTCTTTATTCTTGTAATATAAATTAAAGGTTGTTTTTTTTGGGGGGGGGGTTGTGGCAGGGCTTAAAACATAGCGTGAGCTTATTTTACAATGAGAAGTACGGAAACAAAGAACCTACCCCAATTAAAGTGGCTATTTGTCCACACTTCAGAGCCAGGATGCGCAGTTCTTGGTATCGTGATGACAGCAGTCTTGTGTCAAACTGTGGAAACATGAATAGAGTCAACAAAAGTCTATGGGGTCAGCATTACTCACCATTTCTGCTATCTGAAAACTTAATCGGATGGTGGCCATCTTGGATTTATTATCGACTTAGCAATTAACAAAACTTTAGCACATGCAATGGGATGGACATTTTGTAGAACTTGTGAATTAACTCAAAATGTCTGAACCAGTCAAGGGTCATGGCATGCACATTGAATTATTGAATTGTATACCTGACCTCATGGGCTATACTTTTCTTTTATACAGATTTATATTCACTTGGCTCGCAGTTGATTCATACAAATTAAAGTTAAAAGATGTCAAATTAAATCAAAGGAGCAGACTTTCAAAGATTTCCCATTTCACCCCAGGTGCTACCTGACCTTTCCCTACTTACAGTCATGATAACCTGACCTTCCCCTACTTAGTCATGATAACCTGACCTTCCCCTACTTACAGTCATGATAACCTGACCTTCCCCTACTTACAGTCATGATAACCTGACCTTCCCCTTCTTACAGTCATGATAACCTGACCTTCCCCTACTTACAGTCATGATAACCTGACCTTCCCCTACTTACAGTCATGATAACCTGACCTTCCCCTACTTACAGTCATGATAACCTGACCTTCCCCTACTTACAGTCATGATAACCTGACCTTCCCCTACTTACAGTCATGATAACCTGACCTTCCCCTACTTACAGTCATGATAACCTGACCTTCCCCTACTTACAGTCATGATAACCTGACCTTCCCCTACTTACAGTCATGATAACCTGACCTTCCCCTACTTACAGTCATGATAACCTGACCTTCCCCTACTTACAGTCATGATAACCTGACCTTCCCCTACTTACAGTCATGATAACCTGACCTTCCCCTACTTACAGTCATGATAACCTGACCTTCCCCTACTTACAGTCATGATAACCTGACCTTCCCCTACTTACAGTCATGATAACCTGACCTTCCCCTACTTACAGTCATGATAACCTGACCTTCCCCTACTTACAGTCATGATAACCTGACCTTCCCCTACTTACAGTCATGATAACCTGACCTTCCCCTACTTACAGTCATGATAACCTGACCTTCCCCTACTTACAGTCATGATAACCTGACCTTCCCCTACTTACAGTCATGATAACCTGACCTTCCCCTACTTACAGTCATGATAACCTGACCTTCCCCTACTTACAGTCATGATAACCTGACCTTCCCCTACTTACAGTCATGATAACCTGACCTTCCCCTACTTACAGTCATGATAACCTGACCTTCCCCTACTTACAGTCATGATAACCTGACCTTCCCCTACTTACAGTCATGATAACCTGACCTTCCCCTACTTACAGTCATGATAACCTGACCTTCCCCTACTTACAGTCATGATAACCTGACCTTCCCCTACTTACAGTCATGATAACCTGACCTTCCCCTACTTACAGTCATGATAACCTGACCTTCCCCTACTTACAGTCATGATAACCTGACCTTCCCCTACTTACAGTCATGATAACCTGACCTTCCCCTACTTACAGTCATGATAACCTGACCTTCCCCTACTTACAGTCATGATAACCTGACCTTCCCCTACTTACAGTCATGATAACCTGACCTTCCCCTACTTACAGTCATGATAACCTGACCTTCCCCTACTTACAGTCATGATAGAGAACTCCTGTTCCTGTGAGTCGTCTTTTGACAGCTCTATCACCGTGGAAACCAAGTGAAGGTCCTGAGATATCTCAGCACTATGTATTTGTTTCAGCTAGAAGAAATTTAAAAAAAAAAAGTTTTTTACACATTTTGTTATTGCATGAAATAATATATTTTGTCAAGTGTATCAGGAAATGTAACAAATTATATTTGTTTAATCACTCAGCTATAATTTTCAGTACCAGGACTGATTTTCAAGTTGTCAATATATACTCCAGTGACATGAATATGTATTCATCTGGCGAGTGTTGCAGGGGAGACACCTCTTTGACTTTAGTAGACGTGATATTCTCTTACCCTGGACGGGTGTATCCACAATTTTACAAGGTTGAGACAGGGGGATTCCCCTATTCATAACAATGGTATGACGTCACGTCAACAATACAACGGAGAATTATTCTTATGTTGCCAAACACTTGGCCTAGTCTCGTGTTTGACAACTTAAGAATCTTCCCCTTCAGGTTGAGATTCCCCTATCTCGCACCCAAGCGCCCACAATACATTGTGATGTCAAAATACACAACATCAGCCCAGAATGGGAAAATAGTGTCTGGGTAAGGTTTGAAATGAATAAAAGGAGGCAACACACATGTATGAGGTATAATATACATTCTTAATATGTAGAATATTCTGGACATCTCAATAAACAAGTATCCTGGTTCCATTGAATAAAGTCAAACTAATGAGATATTTTTCTTCGACACTTACCTGTGCATCATGTGCAGGTTTTCTTAGCCACTTACCTGTGCATCATGAGCAGGTGTGACTACTGTGTCACCAATGGGATACACACCATATGCAAACATGTGTAACTCCTTCGCACAGCCCGCAAGCAACAGATTCAGTCTAGAAAAAAAATATGGCTGTTTGAAAACAATGTCAGTTTCCAAAATTCATTCTTTAACTTAGAAACCTCATTAAAAAGACATGTTTTCTAAAACAAGATTTCACAGTATGATGATGAATGTTTTCATCATATTTAATGTACTTGTACTTCAGAGAAATCTGTTGAAATACAAGTATATTGAGAAATGTTGATGTTTCAGAGGAAAAGAATATATTGTATTGGACAGCAAATAAGATCCCACGCGCAAATAAGCCCCCTCTCCACTTTGGCAATTGTCTTGGACACAGGGTTGGTGCCTGCAATTAAGCCTCCTCCCTAATTTGTCTCTCTCTTAAAAAATATGTATGTTAATTTTTGTCTCTGAATATAAGCAAATTTACTACCTGGATGTTGGTTGTTATTTTTACAACATGAACTACTGTAAGTACATGATATGTAGTGTGGTCATAGATAAAAACAGTGGTATATCCAAGATGACAGACATTTGTGAACAGGGGGGAAACCCGCAGTTAAGCCCCCTCCTTACTTTTGGTCAATCTGTTTTCACTAGGGGTGGAGGTTTATTTGTGGATAAAATACTGAATCATTCTCATGTGAACCAAAATGAAACCCTTAACACAAGGGTATGAGAAACTGATCTGAACCTATCACATCTGTGTGAATCACTGATGAATACATAGAAAGCACACATCTATGTCAAGAGGAATGAAATATGACAAGGAAATCTTAAACAAGGGGTAGGAGAAAAAGATTCTCACACTCCTGTGTGATGGTCATGTACAAGATGCTGTCAAGGAAGAGAACCTTAATGAATGATGCAGAGAAACTTTAAATTGCAATTCTTAATTTTTTTGGGTGATGTAAAAAGGTATTTTATTAGTGAATCAAAAACAAAACGTTCAAGTCAAAAAGTGAACAGACATGACATTAAATTTAACTAAATTTGGTAATTTTTAAAAATGTTGTATGTCAGAAAATGTTACAATGATAATAAGAATATCATAAGGGTAAGCATTGTATGTAGTTTGAGGTTTGCTGACATCTACAAATGTTATGTAGCTCTGCATCACCAGTAAAACTCAATTTGTAATTATTTCACAGAATACACCCACATATATCTATATGAATACATAGGGGAGGGTGGGGGTTATTTGGTGTAAATTGCTTACAATTAATATTCCTAACAAATATGAAATCTGATGACAATAAATTTTCCTGAAAATGGTGTGATCTTAATTGTGAGGTATGTAAGGTCACCTGAAAAAAGCGACATTTTCGACATTTTTGGTAACCCATATTTATATATGAAAATTTGCAGGGTTTAAATTTCACAATGAACTGAAATTTTTTAGGTCAATGTTATAGCAAAACTAACGTATGTAGGAAATGTATGCAGTATACATAACCAATCCCAGTGAGCCTTTATAAACACCTAATGGCACAGATATTAGACAGAAAAAAAAACTTTGTTTAGTTTCGCCAAATCTACTTAAAATACTTACTCCTTTTGGTCATTCAGCTTTTTACTATCTTCAACATTTTCTTCTCTGAGACAGAAAATACATGTTACAAACAGAAGTGTCCCAAAGACAAACATGTTTATCATTAGACTACATAGGATTGAGCATTTAATTTGGACAAAATAAGACCAGTCATGAATTTGAGTCCTGGTGAAAACCACGTTAATACAAAAAAGCAAGTTTGCAAAATTAAGTTTCAGTAAAACATGAATCATGTACCACTAGATGGGCAAATTTACAATAAAACATGGAAATTATGTGTTAAGATATTAATGTCATAGTAAATAAACAGGTAGCTGTGTCATACTTACACAGATGCTCCCTTTGATAAAGTTCCATAACTGAAACACAAAATTGTGGATTATGAGATTATCTCCCCTTATCAAAATATTGTCTATTCAATAAGACTTCTTTCACTGGGAACAAGTTACCAGCTCATTGATAAGTTGAAAATCATCATCAATATTTTATGATTTAATGATTAATCAAATTTTATTAACGAATACAGTATTTACTTTAACATTCCATGCCCTAAACAAAAAGATTATGGCGGAAAAAATATTTTGACATTTCTGTTGCCGTAGCCTATCGATAAATCTACAAGCAAAAAAAGGTTCAATAAACTTATAACAGCAAGAAATATTACACATGAATGTTTTCCAGTCAGCAACAGTACTTCTGTCATTACTGTTAAAGCTATATTGGCACAGGTGTGGCATGACATCAAATTCAAAATTATGCAGAAATTCCAAAATGGTATTTGAGTGTTTACTATCACCAGATTGTGGTTAGTGCACACTTTCTAGTGTTCTTTCAAACATGTCAGCAATTCATTTACCAAGTCCAAATTGCTAGGGATGTCACAATAGGCCTGGAGTGTATCACAATATATTGCAATACAGAAAACGATACAAAAAGCTCTATTGTCAGAAGGGAAAGTCAGGGGGTTTTCTTACAAAGAGCTTAATTTAAACAGTACTAGTAACACCAGTAGCTTGCTTTGTGGCTGTCAGAACATGAGACTGTGTAGTACATATGTAAAAACAAAATTAAAACACCTAAAAGATACAAATAATAAGAATAAAAAAAAAGTAATACGATAATGTGCATATTCCAATATACCAGTTTTTCTATATATGTTGGACAGTCCTACAAATCGCTATTCATAAAAGATATTTTACATGTTTATTTGAGCGGAACTCTTTCTGGAAGGAGGTGTCATAGTTAGACAGCCTTAAACCTTTATCTACCTTTTGTTTAACGGCTGTAATTTTGGAAGGTATAGTGAGGCATTATCATCTTCATACGGGTCTGGGGACCAGGTGGTTCCCTCCGGCAAAGACTGTGTGATCCAGCTCATACAGGTTACCTCGCCTGGAAGTTCCAACGTTGTGAGGACTTCAGAGTTTTCTATGTCATACAGGTTGATCTTGCCACATGTGTATCCAGCTGCTAGCACTGAAATAGAAAAATAGAAGTCATTTCCAACCTAGCTGCGGCCTATGGAGCAGCAAGCAGTTAACCTTTGTTTTCTATCACCAGTGGCAAGAGGTAACTGAAAGTCGATATCTCCCTCCTTGACTTTTTCAGAAATACTGTGCTGGTACCTATGTATACAGCTGGGCAGACACAACAGCAGTAACTACCTCATGCCAGTTCAGTTCAAACTTATGGCTGGATATATGTCTATCCCTCACATCCTGACTGGGATATCATGTACTACCGGGTGTTAGATTTGTCTATCCCTCCCTTCCTGACTGGGATATCATGTACTACTACTAGCCGGTGTTAGATTTGTCTATCCCTCCCATCCTGACTGGGATATCATGTACTAGCCGGTGTTAGATTCGTCTATCCCTCGCATCCTGACTGGGATATCATGTACTACCCAGTGTTAGATTTGTCTATCCCTCCCATCCTGACTGGGATATCATGTACTACCCGGTGTTAGATTTGTCTATCCCTCCCATCCTGACTGGGATATCATGTACTACCCGGTGTTAGATTTGTCTATCCCTCCCATCCTGACTGGGATATCATGTACTACCCGGTGTTAGATTTGTCTATCCCTCCCATCCTGACTGGGATATCATGTACTACCCGGTGTTAGATTTGTCTATCCCTCCCATCCTGACTGGGATATCATGTACTACCCGGTGTTAGATTTGTCTATCCCTCCCATCCTGACTGGGATATCATGTACTACCCGGTGTTAGATTTGTCTATCCCTCCCATCCTGACTGGGATATCATGTACTACCCGGTGTTAGATTTGTCTATCCCTCCCATCCTGACTGGGATATCATGTACTACCCGGTGTTAGATTTGTCTATCCCTCCCATCCTGACTGGGATATCATGTACTACCCGGTGTTAGATTTGTCTATCCCTCCCATCCTGACTGGGATATCATGTACTACCCGGTGTTAGATTTGTCTATCCCTCCCATCCTGACTGGGATATCATGTACTACCCGGTGTTAGATTTGTCTATCCCTCCCATCCTGACTGGGATATCATGTACTACCCGGTGTTAGATTTGTCTATCCCTCCCATCCTGACTGGGATATCATGTACTACCCGGTGTTAGATTTGTCTATCCCTCCCATCCTGACTGGGATATCATGTACTACCCGGTGTTAGATTTGTCTATCCCTCCCATCCTGACTGGGATATCATGTACTACCCGGTGTTAGATTTGTCTATCCCTCCCATCCTGACTGGGATATCATGTACTACCCGGTGTTAGATTTGTCTATCCCTCCCATCCTGACTGGGATATCATGTACTACCCGGTGTTAGATTTGTCTATCCCTCCCATCCTGACTGGGATATCATGTACTACCCGGTGTTAGATTTGTCTATCCCTCCCATCCTGACTGGGATATCATGTACTACCCGGTGTTAGATTTGTCTATCCCTCCCATCCTGACTGGGATATCATGTACTACCCGGTGTTAGATTTGTCTATCCCTCCCATCCTGACTGGGATATCATGTACTACCCGGTGTTAGATTTGTCTATCCCTCCCATCCTGACTGGGATATCATGTACTACCCGGTGTTAGATTTGTCTATCCCTCCCATCCTGACTGGGATATCATGTACTACCCGGTGTTAGATTTGTCTATCCCTCCCATCCTGACTGGGATATCATGTACTACCCGGTGTTAGATTTGTCTATCCCTCCCATCCTGACTGGGATATCATGTACTACCCGGTGTTAGATTTGTCTATCCCTCCCATCCTGACTGGGATATCATGTACTACCCGGTGTTAGATTTGTCTATCCCTCCCATCCTGACTGGGATATCATGTACTACCCGGTGTTAGATTTGTCTATCCCTCCCATCCTGACTGGGATATCATGTACTACCCGGTGTTAGATTTGTCTATCCCTCCCATCCTGACTGGGATATCATGTACTACCCGGTGTTAGATTTGTCTATCCCTCCCATCCTGACTGGGATATCATGTACTACCCGGTGTTAGATTTGTCTATCCCTCCCATCCTGACTGGGATATCATGTACTACCCGGTGTTAGATTTGTCTATCCCTCCCATCCTGACTGGGATATCATGTACTACCCGGTGTTAGATTTGTCTATCCCTCCCATCCTGACTGGGATATCATGTACTACCCGGTGTTAGATTTGTCTATCCCTCCCATCCTGACTGGGATATCATGTACTACCCGGTGTTAGATTTGTCTATCCCTCCCATCCTGACTGGGATATCATGTACTACCCGGTGTTAGATTTGTCTATCCCTCCCATCCTGACTGGGATATCATGTACTACCCGGTGTTAGATTTGTCTATCCCTCCCATCCTGACTGGGATATCATGTACTACCCGGTGTTAGATTTGTCTATCCCTCCCATCCTGACTGGGATATCATGTACTACCCGGTGTTAGATTTGTCTATCCCTCCCATCCTGACTGGGATATCATGTAATACCCGGTGTTAGATTTGTCTATCCCTCCCATCCTGACTGGGATATCATGTAATACCCGGTGTTAGATTTCTCTATACCCATCCTGACTGGGATATCATGTAATACCCAGTGTTAGATTTGTCTATCACTCGCATCCTGACTGGGATATCATGTACTACCTGGTGTTAGATTTGTCTATCCCTTTCCATCTGTCTTGCACCTTACAAGTTCACACAATGATGTGTTTATCCAAGCACATAAAGTATAACACATATTCCACAATTCTCCCTATTTCTGAAGTAGACTCCTGATTTGGAAACCTTAAATTCAATATCCCAACCAATGAATTCGCTAAACTATTCCTTTATTCTAAGGTCAAATGATTTCATCTGAAAGAGCAATAAGATGCCATTTTAAGTGTTAGGAATATACACACATTTTATTAATGTATAAATTTTGAGCATGTGGAATCTCTGCAAAGGAAATGTTAAAAGGTTGGCAAATACGATAACAGCCATAATTTTAAATGTTCCATTTTGATCTTAAATGTATGGTGTTGATGTTATTAAATTTTCGATATTAAATACAATATATACTACATACATGAAAATTTGTCTTGCAATGTACCCTTTCCCTTTAATGCACCGCGTAATGATGGTGAAATTATCAACATAGCAATCAAATATGAAGGGCGGAATTAACACTGGCCAAATATGGTGTTACTAGCCAAAGGTGAATGATACAGACATTTCACCTACCCAATGAAACCTGCTTTTGTTCTCTCGTAAGACTTATATTATTTATGTGAAAGCATTCGAACGTAGATATAGTAGTGCAGAGGCTGTGTTAAACTGGGGTCTAAGATGGATTACATGTTAATTTGGAAATGGCAGAATCAGAGAAACTGTATATAAAGACGGAATCATCCCAGTGATGTTGCTAGGTTTGGGATTGTTAACAGATGAAGCATTTGGTTCTGTTTGGAATTTTACCTTTCCCATCTGGTCGCCATGCCAACGCTGTAACCTTGACCTCTTCAGCAGGTGGCGCCACCAACCAGACTTTCTGCCATGACAGTCGATGTAGGACAACCTGTTAATGACAGACAAAAAACTGCTTATGTAAACTTGCTTATTATACATAAACAAAACTCTCAAGTAGGGTCAACAAGGTTTTAACAAACATTTTTTCACAAAAATGCTCTCTTAATCACAAATTGGATACATATTGCAGATATTAAATGTGACAATTAACTATTTCACTAATTTACAAAAGCCACTACAAAAATGTATACCATGTATTTATTACTTTACCATCCTTTAAAAAAAAGATTATTGAGCACACATGTATTACCTCTTCATTCTTTGTCACAAAATACATATATAGACCTGTGCGATGGCGCAGGTCGAGCAGACCTCGCTGGTAGGGGGACCCCCAACCCTTGGAAAGCTTGACTTACGGCATTGCACAATCATTTCAAAATGTATTTTTTCATGCCTTTCTATAAACAGTAATGCAAAGATCTGTCAGTATATTTATTTTGTTTTATTTTGATATCTTTGAAAATAACTATGTAACAATATTTTATAGTTTGCTACTTTAAGAAGCTGTCTGCCACTATATTTTTTTTTATTATATATGTTGTATTGTTTTCTATATAAATGGAAATACAATTTTACCAATCAATTATCTAATATGATACAAACATATCCTATTCTGTGCTATCTGAACCGTTACCGGATTGATTTTCTTATTTTTTCTTACTTTTCTTCCATTTTTAAAGGACCCCATTGGAAATCAGCCACTTTGTGGCTTTTATGGGTAATCCTAGGTAAACGGCACTCACCACCACTCCTATTATGCAACCTATTTATATCTACCTTCATATACTAAAAATAGTCTGTATTATTTTATAGTAATATCTGCCTTTTTTTATAGTGTATCAGATTTTTTTTAGATTTTTATACTCTGGGATATACGTCAAGGTGAATTAAGAAACCTTTTATTATGATAGACCTATTATTATTCTCAGTCTTAATTAATACAAAATACTCTTTTTTATTTACAAGCTGATTGTGATCTTAATTACAAAATGTATATGTTTTATTCTAAATTGTGATATCTTGTAATAACATGCCTATTTTAACTGAATAAATATTATTATAATTCTGATATCTGTGTTGCCAGTCGCGGACCAAGGGGTGTTGCCAGTGGCGGACCCAGGGGTGTTGCCCTAGTTGTGTGGGCAACACCCTTTTTTCTATGTCCAAAAATAATCTGGACCAAGGTTTTTGAAGATTTCCCTCTATTTCATATGGGATTTCCTTCTAATATCAACCATCCTTTGAACTATGATTTGCTATGACTTCCCCAGCCAGTAGTTTGAATATTTTGGGGGTTAAGAAATACACACCTAATGTAATGATGTATCAAGAATTAGGGAGGCTACCTTTACAAATGATTAGGAAATTTAGAATTTTTAAATATTGGCTTAAACTTAAAATTTCGGACAATTGCATTTTAAAGGCTTGTTACAATGAGATGATTGAAAAGGTCAGCGACTGGACAAATAGCATAACAAATAAATTATATAGGTTAGGTTTGGGATATTTATGGCTAACAGAGGATAATGAAGGTCAAATTCTGAATATTATTAAATGTAGAATGCATGACATTTTTCAACAGGAGTGTCTAGATTTAATTAATTCATCTGCTAAGTGTTCTCTTTATAAATGGATCTGTGGTATTTTTTGTCTTAAACAGTATTTAATTAAACCTATTGGATTACAAAATATAAAACAAATTGCTAAAATTTGGTTGTCATCGCATACGTTGAATATTGAAACGGGTAGATTTCATGGTTTAGAGAGAAAAGATAGAATTTGTATATATTGTAACACTGGCGATATTGAAGACGAATATCATTATAGTATTAGATGTAGTCATTATACTGATTAAAGAAACCATTTCGTTAAAAAATATTATCATAAAAAACCTAGTATGGCAAATTTTTTAGATTTGATGACAACCAGAAATAATAAAGAACTTTCTAATTTAGTCAAATATCTGAACCAATGTCAAAAAAGGAGATGCAATACTGTTTAGGATTGAAGGAATCACTCTCTATACTTTCTGTGATTTTATCGTGTATGCATGGTCGGAAGGTGGTATTCTCTGTATTCTCATATATATATACTGTATAATTTGAACTGTATATATGCACTGTACTGATGAACCGCAAGGTTTAAGGTAATAAAGAATGAATGAATGAACATCTATATATGTCTAAGGGTGTTGCCGAAACAAGGAGTCCACTACTTATACTCTAAACAATCGGGGATTAATCCTCTATTGTCTATATATAAGTTGGGTCTCCAGTCAGGTCAGTGATCAAGGCTCACCGGACTGACTCTACCTAATCTTATTGTTCTAATGTCACAGTGTGGTGATCCCCCTGTCAGTTGGCGAGGAATATACCATCTGTTGGGATTAGGTATTATAGGTGGAAATGATATTTCAAAGGTTGAGTCCATTTCATGATAGATAAACCTGTATTTTCACATGTGGTTTCATGTTCACATGATCACCAGGAGTGATTTATTAAAGCAATTAAAAAATATTCCAAAAATTTCAAAGACAATAAAGCACCCTCCTTAGCATCACTTTATCAGGTGAATAATAACCAATGTTAGCATAAAAGCCTAGCATGGTTATCCTTTTCATTAGGTGTTGCCCTTGTACATATGTATGCATACAAATTCTCAATAAAAGACAAACAATTAAATCATAATTCATACTTATGACCAAAAAATAATAATATTTAATTGCCAAAATGCTCCCCTAAACTACATGCACATAAAGGGCATGACACAAACCAAACATCAACATTTTAACCAAAAACCTACATTTTTACCATTTTTCATAGAATTTACCTTGCTGCATCCAATTCTTTCATCTATCCAGTTTTTAACATTTGACTTTTATCCCTTTATCCTTTTTCAGCAGTGTTATTATGTTTCAAAATTCAAGTTTTATTTATTCACTCCAACACACTTACGTGTGTAACAAGAGGTCACATACATATAGTAAATATGATACATGGCGTGTGATGTACACAATTACAACATTGTATATAGCATAGTTACATATAGAAGGAGCATAACCTTGTACAGAAATTCAGTTAATATCTGTTCAAGCTTTTCTAGGAATCTACAAACTTTTGTGTAAATTTTTACATTAAATATATTAAACAATCCTTGCATTTTTATTTGACTTGGATAAGTGAAATAGTATTTTGGTATATATTTCTCTCTTAGACATTTAACTAAATCACTTTCACATATAAATAAGTAATGAAATTCATCCCCAATGTCGGAATTACGTTATGTGTGCATGGAGGTTTCGAAAAGAACATGGGTCTTTCAGAAAAGAGGATCATTAAGCTAGGACAAGGAACACATATGGCATACCAACTTGGTACCATTTGCAACCCTCTGTTCACCACACTCTGGACAAAGCAATTAAAACATTGGACACTTGCGTCCCCCTAAACACTGAACACCACTCACACAATACCCCCGTATACACCCACCCCACCCTGAAAACGAAAAACATACGACACCACTTACTTCCCTTGAACATTTGACACTACAATGCCCCTTTTGCAAATCCCGTTCATCTGTTTTTAAATGTAACATTTTCGGTTATAAATCATGGCGGCCCTGAAAGACCTTGCAAGGCTTTATCAAGGCTTGCCTGAAAGCAGCACAAGATTACTAGACCAGACCTTATTTCATAAACCAACAACTCTGGTCCAACTGGTTCAACCTCCAGCCTCCAGCCAGACACTACTTACCTCCCCTTGAACATTAGACAGAGCCACCAGGTCAAACTTGGGTGACCATAACATCAACTCCACCTCCACAGACACATGCTTCTCGTCCACCTGTTTAAATGCTGTCTCCTCTGGCATTTTGACATCAACTTATCACACTGTAATACAGAAACTATATTTCATGATCAGTTCTGTCCGAGCCATAATATTGGTCAAGAAAATAAGCTGCTATATACTTTGATCACAATTTTTCAAATTATTTCGAATCCTAAATGTGTATCAGAAATGCGATGTTTAGATATAAATTGTAGATAGATTAAGTAAATAAGATTTGGTGGGGAAAAATGTAAAAGGGGCATACCGGTTACTCCAATAAATAAAGTCAATTATTTTTAGAAACTTTGTTAATGGAAATAAGAAAAAATCAATTTCTTACTCGTCATAAAAAATAAAGCAAATTAACTTAAGAGAAAATGATCAAATAGATGAAATTCAGAAGCTTGAAAATCAGAATGATATAAATTTGGAAGAGTTGGATAGAAAAAAAAGGAATTAGAAAACATTAGAACATGCACATAGGGTGAAGGGAAGTATAATTCGAGCCAAACCTTTATGGATAGACGAAGGGGAAAAACCAACAAATAATTTTTTCGGTTTAGAAAATATAAACTTTACACCAATTTTTTTTCCAAAGCTGCCAAGGGAAAATGGGGAATTAATAACAAAACAAGATCATATTTTAAAAGAAGTAAAAACAATATATGTAATATTATACTCCACTGTTGATAACAAAGTTAAAGAAATGAATTTAGAAGACTTCCCAGATTTTGATGTGCCAAAATTGAGTATAGTAGAAGCTGACAGTTTAGAAGGATTAATAACACTAAAGGAGGCATCTAAAACCCTTAGAAACATGAACAATAACAAAAGCCTGGGTTCAGACGGATTTACTTCAGAATTTTTTAAATGTTTTTGGAAGCAGCTTGGAAACTTTGTGGTTAGGTCATTAAATCATGGTTATTTAACTGGTCAGTTATCTGTTACTCAATGTCAGGGTATCATATATGATTCCTAAGGCAAATAAATCAAAATATTTCATGAAAATTTGGCGGCCTATCTCTCTTTTAAATATCTCGATCTATAGCTAGTAGACTTAAACATATTAAGAAATAAAAAAGGATCACAGGAGTTCTATAAAGTTCTTATTCAAAATAATGTCACAGTAACAGGACAAAATAAATGGGGAACTGTTTTTGATTATAATACAGGGAGGAAACATGGAAAAATATATATGCTGTTCCATTCAGGGTAACAAATAACACAAAGTTATAATGGTTACAATTTAGAAGAAATCATTACATTTTAACAACAAATTCATATTTATTCAAGATTGGACTAATAAATAACCCTCTGTGTGTTTTATGTTTTATGGAAAGGGAGACAATTATTCATATCCTATGGGATTGCACTGAAGTAAAGCTTTTAAACAAATTTTGAAAATCTCTTAAATGCACTTGCTATTCCCTTTTCAATAAATAAAGAAAATATTATTTTTGGATAAATTGAGCAAACAGGAATTTATAATAGAATTGACAATGAAATTATTCTTTTTATTATATATGTACAAAACTAGATGTTTGCATAGCTCACTTAATGTTATGGCTCTAGTAAATTTGATTGAAGAATATTACAATGTTCAGAATATATTGCATATGGTTAAGGGGAACAATATCTCAATAAGTTTACTAATGAATGGCGAAAAATGGATAAAAGTAGTTGAACTTGCCTAAACATTGATATTTTTATTTTATTTTTTTATTAAATACTAAACACAGTCATTAAATTGTTATTTGCCTTTTCATCAACCACTTGCATTTTGCTATGAGTGATCTTTATATTATCATAGGTATAGCATATATCAATCGGACCTTTACTCAGAAAGTCTGACATCTCTATCTTTGTGTCTGTCTTTGTGTCTGTCTCTCTATCTCTCTGCCCGTCTATGTCTGTGTGGATTTTGCATATGTGCAGAAAACAATGTGTTTTTTGTTTGTTTTGTATGTGTTTGAATATGTCATATTTATGTCAAAATTATTTATGTAAAATCTTTGAAAAATAAACAATTATACAAAAAAAAATATAGTCAGATATAAGTTACGGTGATCATATTGAACCAAGTGGGTTAAAATACCAGTGTGACATGCATTCAGTATAGAACAAATATCTGATCATGAACTGCCAGTGATTACTGTTCATTATTTGAACACATGAATGTAATGATGTGAAAAAAACTGTAAAACCTTGATATAATGCTCCTTTAGTGGCTATTTTACCTACAAACACTCTCAATGTCCACTTGCCTTTCTGTTATTCTCTTACAATTCATGGCCAACTTATAATGCCAAAATTTATATCAACTGACAGAAGCATAAAGGTGCGTGTGACTGGGAGAAAACGTCATAAAATATATTCTGGCCTAATCTGGGGTTCATCAAAGAGAGGGTAAAAAAAGTAGATAGAGCACTATTATATATAGGTACAATTCACTTTGCTGATTACTTGCACTCATTTCATTTGTGATCTTGTCAAATTTCGGTTTTTATTTAAATCAAATATTCAAATTTCTGCACGGCATAATCTGAGGACATGTTTCTGTGTTGTGACTACATATCACTGCAAGCATACCACAAATGTTGAAGTCATTGAATTATTGGTAGTGAAATTAGACACTCAAAGACTGTAGAAAAGAAACTTTGTTACTTTTTATTCAGTTGAAAACAAATACACCTGGAAAAGGTATTTTTTTATATAATGTATGCCACAACTCGCCATCATCAGCTCAACAAATTATTTGACTGTCAAGTGGTCTGGTTATTCCTGTTATTTTAAAACAGGCAATGCCAAAAAGTATGGTGTCTTTTTACGTTTTTCTGAGAACTTCCTCCTCTTTATAAGTAAATGTAAGTAAGTTTATCCAATCAAAAAAAATTGATGTGACTGAAAAATTGTAGCAGATAAAAAATGTGGTAATAATTTTGTAAACTTTTTCTCCCTCTTTTTCGCCCGTAGTGGTATCATATTGTATGCAAGTTGTGCCATAATTAGATTACCAGGTAGCAGTGAAATTGGTGATGTAATGCTGTTGTACAACAATCACCCGATGCTGCTGTTAGAATTATCAAAAATCTATAAAGATAAATTTCCTTTAAATTCGTGTTCTCCTCTTGCACAGGTCAGTTGCAAATTAAGAAATCTTTATTTTCGGATTATCTCTTAAACGTGTCATTGGCCTTATGGTGCTACTCTTTCAATATTAAAATGTCTTTTCCCCCTTTTCCGAACAAGCTTTGTCGTTGGGACTGCCCAATCACTGGCCTGCTCGGACCTCTCTCTCGGACTCTCCTCCTCGAACTAAATTTTCCTTCTCTTAACGTTAACTAAGTGATTAATTATTATGTAATATTATATATAGTCTGTCATTTGTGCTGCATAAACCCAACTTCGTGACAAAATGTTCAATTAGTTGAAGGTGGTCACATATGGAAGAACTAAGAACTAGCAGAACTATGGTAAAATAAATCGTCAAAACTGGTGATGCACAAGATGTATCATGTATGCTAACATAGAGACGTAAACATAACGGAAAAAAACATCACTAACAACTTGTTTAGGAAAAGTAAATATATCGTACTATAATTACACAAAAGTACTGTAATTAAATTCCGAAAAAGTATATTATATTCCATGCATTTTAACACCTCTAGCCTGCTGAAAGAGTTGGATACCTATCTCAGCACTCAGCTTCCATGGGCGCAGACATTTTGAATTGAAAACGAGTTTACTATGTGTCGTCCAATCAATGCCATTTCTAAAAATAAATTGACCAATAATACACACCGTAACTGATTAAATGAAAGAAGGCGGCCATTTTAAGCTGTAAAAAGATTTTATACGAAAATCTGCGATGTCGAATGTCTAGGAGACGACAAATCAAAAGGTAACATTGTTTTTATATATCAATGCTTGATTTGTGTCAGTTGGTCTTCCATTTTCAGCCGATCCGTTTTCTCGTGTCAAGGGATTCGAGCCGGTCGCTAGCACTGTAGGCTACTCACTACTGTCAAGTTGGAACGGCTGTCGGCCATAGCAGGTGTTTTCAATTGGTTATTAGATACGCTTCGGGGAATTTTCTATACAGAGTTAATTATGAAATCTCTTTAAAACTTGACCGAGCCTGATGACCAATGATTACACGTAATTGTCGGCACACTTATTTTCATATTTATGTACAAACAGCATAAATTGTCAAGGGTAGAAATAAGTAAACATGTTTGACATTCTTACGACTTCTACAAAAAGGATATCGCACGGTTTTGAATATTATCATAAAAACCGTATGCTTGATATTCAGCACTCGTTTTCATTCAAACTGAAACACCTCTTCACGAAACACGATTTTAAAATGATAATTTGAAATGTGTGTGTAAGCCCTATAAAAGTGTAACATTGCATTAAAGTGTTGGACTTTGAGACCCATATCTTGGTCCTGTCTGTTTAATATAATTATATATAATATATCATAATATGCATTAGGCATTTATTCATTGATGGCCTTTGAAAGTGTATGTTCGTTTAACAGCAAGATGAGGTCTTAAAATCCTTCATTTAAACCGCTAATTGTACATTTATGTGAAATATTTAGATAATGAATGTAAGATGTCCAAGTGTTTAGCTTTGATCAAATGTTGAACAGAGCAAGCGGATGGTTGACTGTAATCCATCAACTCAGCCAGGCATGAATTAGACTTGAGGGATACTGAGCTACAACTGAGCAGACTCTTTGGATATAAACCAGATGTAACTTACATGTATACAACATTTTGGACTTGATATGAACATCAGACTAGTGACTTGAGCAAATAATCTCACATGATGTATACCCTCAGATTTCCTAAGCCTATTCAAGACTTTTCTAAGCCTAATAAAATAAAAAAAATGCCTGGAAAACTATATTTTGATATATTTACATTATAGTGTAATAAATTCATTAAATCACCAAACACATCTTATATTCTTTTTACATTTTGAAAGTGTTATTTATTTGACATCATTATGAGTATATGATTGATGATTTTTTTTTTTGTAGGCCAAATTTATTACCCTGTCTTTTCTTATGGAAAACAGTTGGGGTTTTTTGCAAAATTATTTTCAAAATTTTCAAAGTGATTTTTTTTTAAAAATGAGCTTGCATTCTTGTTCAATATCTCTAATTCCAAATGCAACAATATATTATGTAAATGGGTAGTTTCGTCTTAAAGGTGATAATTTGTCTTTGCAGTGGTAAAGAAGGATAGGGCCTCGGGCCATAAGGGCATTCAATAGAAAAAAGGCTGACAGAATTTTGCAATTTAAAGAAATTACTACATGTATATGCAATGGGTCAATGAAACTTAATGTTGTTGAATAACCTGAAATTAAGCTTTGCTCCAATGTAACTTACTTTGTATAAAAAATAAAATAATAATTTTTGATATATATATTTTTTTAATTTCCAATCTTGAGGTTCTACAACACATTTCTCAGGCCTCTGCATTCTCAAAATGACGTAAAAAGCCCAGAGATGTTGATGTTATCTTTGGTGTGCATATGTCAGTCAGGTTTATGTATTTATTGTATAAAAAATCCTTTTTCAAAAAAAATTCAATTGTCATGAAACTTCACAATTTTATAGAAGACATGTCAAAGAGCCATTTTAACAAGTAATTATAGTGTACAGTCAGTGATTATCATTTCTTAGTGAGGCACATTCTCACCCAGGGGAACAATAGCAAGATTGAAGCCACTACAATAATGAATGTCAGAGTCATAAATGGAAAAACTTAACACTATCTCTTAGAGTGTAATATTATTTTTTACTTATTGTTAATTCCTTGATACAGTGATTGTCCTTGGATTAAGCGGTGCTTTTCATTGTGAAGTATATATTCTAAGTCGGAGATGGAGTTGTTTTTCCATAGTTGTCTTACATAATGTAACGAGACCTATAGATCAGCACTGAAGCCTTAAATGATGGCACATGCCTAACCATCTGGCTCTTGAATAAAATAACAAAAATACTGTTGAAACTATCGAAAAAAGTAAACATTATTATAATTCATTTAATTGTGATAAATGCATTGAGGTGAATTTTTGAAATCTTTCAACTTTGTATTGCTTTCAGGAAATTCCTGTTTTGGTTGTAAATAACTTTATAGGATTTGGAAATGTAAAGATAATAGTTTATGGCTTCTCCTGTTATTTAGTCCTACAATAAATACATGTACATTTGACAAGGAAAATACTCTTGTTTACTTTCAATTCATCAAGGCCATAAAGGCATTTAAAATAAATAGCCTTCCATGTTTACAGCAGAACCAAGTGGCACAGCTATGGAGATTGATGTCCCTGGTCTCCTTGATAAAATAAACACTTGTTCTGATATAAATGAAATCCACAGACATTAGACTGTGTTTAATGGTTTCTGCTAGCTGCCTGTAGAAGTCTGAGGAACATTACAGCTAATTTCCCTCACATCAGTTCTGGTGTTGACACATTACCAATGGGTCCTTAGGGAAAGGTGTCAACTCGTAATTAATGGAACTGCTGGTGTTGATAACCCCTTACTGACCCAATTATGGTGATGACCTCGTGCCTTCAACTATGGACCTTAATTTAGGTGTCAAGAGTGTGTTCAGACCAGCACTGTCCTTTTGTTTTCAAAATTGAACCCCATCACCTTTTCTTTGTTTACTAATTATTACCTGTGGAAAGAATGACAGATTTCCTCAAGAGATCAAAATCCGGGTCTATGAGTCCAAGCCAAGCCAAGCATGTCCTTCTGTATACCATTTTTGTCCTCTCACCTTCCCATTGTCAGGTTATTGTTACCTGTAAATGAGGTGGCAGGTGTGCTCAAAGTGCTCTGGATAAAATCAAAACTCACCTCAGTATTATAGAGTTACTTAAAAATTTAGTGCCAATTTCAAGTTTGTTTGTTTCTGATATGTGTTCAATTAAATAGACAGATATGATATATATATACAATGTGCTAACATAGAGGGTCATTTAAAAATTTCAACTTGACCGAGCTTCGTCTAGATTAACTCCTTCTTCACTGAAACAATGGCTATAGATCATATGGAAACTACACTTAAGAGGTGTCCAACAGATTTGCAGACTTGGGCTAAGAGAGCCAAGAAATATAGCATCAGAGACTCCAGTAGCAAACAAGGTATTGATAAATAGAATTGTCTTGTCAGTGAATTTAATGACTAATTTCATTAATTTTAGAGAGAGAAAAAGTCATAATTACCTAAATTATATATGGTATCATAGTGTTATACATCAGTATTGAGTTTAAGAAATATGTTTATTGTATGTAATTATATATTTAAAAACTATCTATGCATTAGAAACTTGTTTTAATGATTTTATTGAAACTTGCAATGAAAGAAGATGCATAATTGTCCTTTTAGAGGTTTTTGATTTGTATCCTGGTCTGTGAAACATTTCAGTATTTACTATGAAAATATAGGTTAGGTTATATATAGAATTCAAAGCAGACTGCAGGCTAGATCTTCAAAATTTGCAATTTAACAGTTAGAAATTCATTAAAATAGAAAGTTTAAATGTCAAATTTTGATTTTAAAGCATTGTAATAATGTTTTGCAAACATATTTGAATACGAAACATCTTCATCCTATAATGCATTATTTATCCTGACATTTTAACCAAAGGCATATAATTCTAAGACAAATTACATTAAAATGTGTTAATCCATTGAGCATCATAGAGTCATAGTCCCATGCAGCTATTTTCAATGATATCACGGACAACACAACAGACACACTGTCTGATTCTGATACACCCCTAATTATGTCCAGAACCACTTCTAATCCTCATCCATTGTGCTCATCAATTTCAAATGAGTTGGCTAAATCAAATTCACATCAATTTTACTGAATGGGGAAGTTGTCAGACAATGGTCAGGTCATACACAGGCTCAGCACAAACTATTTGAAAGCACCCTTGTCCTTTAGGCAAGTTGGTTTGAAAAAAACTACCTGAAAATAATATATATTTGTTTCCAAATTATGCTTAAAATGTAATATGTATATACCCTCAGAGGACATTTGCTGGCCCAGGGGACATGAGGCTGTGTGGACCAATTTTCTTTCTCTGTCTTGTTTAGGGATTCCTGATGTAAAATATGCTAAAGTTACTCACAGTACATAATCCTGACACACTATTAATACAAGGGGTCTTTTAAAATGAATATTTGTAACATATAACTTCAAACAAAAAAGAAAGATGATTTTGATTTGTTTGGTTCGTTTAGTAAATGTAAAAAAAAAAAAACTTTTAAAAATAGTTATTCTGACATTTTTTGGGGGAAAAAAACAATTATCAAATTGTTCATTATTTAGTATGACCAAATAAAAGAAATATAATGCTACATTGAAAGTCATATGTTCAAAAAACTTGGCATTTGTTCTCTAGGACTTTTTTTGTGTGACTAATGTAATTGGGTATAAATTGACCAATATATAAATGGCTAATGGACAGTTATGGTACAGGTAGACATGATTTCACTTAACTTACAGAACTGTAATAAACAAGTTTAGAATGACTGTATACAATATAGAAGTTGTTAAAGGTTTAACATGATAGAAAGGTTTGACAATGGAGACCTAGTCAAGCTTGCCTGCTAGGTGCTAACAGGTTTGCTTAAATGAGGTTTAGGCTGGGTCATCTTGACCAGTAAGTTGTCACCAAGGACATGTGAAATAACTGACCAG